AAAAAATTGCCAAAAATCAACAGTAGGTCTTAGCTCCTTCAAACTTACACTTTATTACACTCAAATTTTTTGGGCTGCAAAACTTCGTACTCAAACAAATTAAAAAAATCTGATAAAGAAGTTTCATATTTCGATGAAGATTTGTTAAAATTCGTAGAATTTTTATCAAGGTTTTACAAAGTTTGAATTTTTGATTTACATGGTTTTTTGTAGGTAGTAAGCTATATTTTTATGAAAAAAATATACAATTTCTAAACTGTCTCTTCCGTATTTATATACAGAGGAATTTAAAGAAATGTACACAAGTATATACGGCGGCGAATATACATACATACATATGTAAATTTTTTAATTTCCTCTAAGGAAAACCGTTTTCAGCTCTTGGACTATTTATCTTGTGTATAAAATTTTTTAAACTGTTTTCAATCAAAAAAAGAGCAACTCAAGAATTAAATATTTTCATTGAGTTGTGTTAAATAATAAATTTTAATGAACTCCCACATGTTGCATTGCAAACCAAAAAGAAATAGATACATATATCAAATTACTATTTACTGTTGTTCATTTTAAATTCCTTTAAAATTCTACCAATGAAAAATTAATGAAACAGCGAAATAACTTTAAAATTCCAGTTTTGTAGGAACTTTTTACAGTTGAAAATGCAGCAGCTGCTGTTTAAATGAGTGCCTGGATATTATTAGCCAACAAGCACGGCCGGAAAAATTTTGTTGAAAAAAAAACAGATGCACCAGCTCGATTGAAATTAAATTTCCACATTTTTCTGTGTAGCCTAAAGCACTCCAGTTAATTGCAAAATATTTTTTTTGTTCTTCGGTAAAACAATTTGTTTGGTATTTTTATTTAATTATTTAACCGAAGCACATTATTGTTAAAAATGAAATGCGGTGAATATTGCAAAAGACGACTGAGGATAATTGGATGTGGAAATGGGAGTGAAAAAGTGGTGCAATAAAAATGAGGACTCCAAAAGGAATGAAGCTGCATTTTTATAAAATTGTATTGACTACCAAAGTAAGACAAAAAAGTGTGTACCGACCATCTGCATAAAACATGCCTTTATCCAAAGGCTTGACGTTCTATATAAATACATTTCTACGCTTCCCACAAAAAATAAAAAGCGCGTGATGTTTTCCAAAGCAGCTTCAAGACCGTGTGTACAAATTTTGTATGGTAT